TGTCCATGGGTTTGCATATATGCATATAAATTCTTTGATTAATCTCTCCCCACCCCCACCTTCCCACTGAGATTCATCAGTCTGTTCCATGTTTCTATGTCTCTGGATCTATTTTGTTCCTCAGTCTATTTTGTTTATTAGATTACACATATGAGTGAGATCATGTAAAACTGAATCAGGAAGAATCAGAAAACCAGAATAGGCTAATAACAACTGAGGAAATAGAAGCAGTAATTGAAAAAAGCCCAGCAAACAAAAGCCCCAGCCCAGAGGGCTTCACAGGGGAGCATTCTAATTCTTTAAGTGGTAGGGTTAGATAGTTTACTAAAAAACTTTTTTGCCTTTTGAGGTAGGTCTGTAGTGCTATGAACTTCCCTCTTAGGACTGCTTTCGCTGTGTCTCATAGATTTTGGGTTGTTGTGTGTTCATTTTCATTTGTTTCTAGGAAGATTTTATTTATTTCTTGATCTTATTGGTAACCCATTCATTGTTTAACAATATACTATTTAACCTCAATGTGTTTGAATGTTTTTGAGTGTTTTTACTGTAGTTTATTTCTAATTTCATGCCCTTGTGATCTGAGATGTTTGATATTTTAATCTTCTTGAACTTGAAGATACTTGTTTTGTGACCTAACATGTGGTCTATCTTTGAGAATGACTCATGTACATTCGAAAGGAGTGTATATTCTGCAGCTTTGGGGTGAAATGTTCTGTAAATATCAATTAAATCCATCTACTCTAGTGTGCTATTTAGAGTCATTTTTTCTGTGTTGCCTTTTTGTCTGGAAGATCTGTCCAGTGAAGTCAGTGGGATGTTAAAGTTCATGACTATGACTGTATTGCTGTTGGTCTCTCCCTTAAAGTCTTCAAGGTTATTATTGATAGGTCTTTATTTATTGCCCTTTTTTTCTTTATGCTTATGTTTCTCTCTCTATTTCTTCTTCTAATTACAGAAGTCCCTTTAACATTTACTGCAATACTGGTTTGGTGGTGATAAATTCCTTTAGCTTTTTTTGTGTGTTTTTTTTTAATCTGGGAAGCTCTTTATTTCACCATCTATTTTGAATGATAGCCTTGCTGGATAAAGTAGTCTTGGTTTCAGATTCTTGTTTTGCATTATCTTGAATTTTTCATGCCATTCCCTTCTGGCCTGTAGAGTTTCTGATGAAAAGTCAGATCACAGCCTTATGGGAGCTCCTTTGTAGGTAACAGACTGCTTTCATCTAGCTGCCTTTAAGGTTCTCCCTTTGTCTTGAATTTTTGGCATTTGAATTATTATGTGTCTGGGCATGAGCCTCCTTGGGTTCTTATTGCTTGGGACTCTCTGTGCCTCCTGAACCTGTGTGACTTTTTCCTTGACCAGGTTAGGGAAGTTTTCTGTCATTATTTCCTCAAACAGATTCTCTAAACTTTTCTTACTTTTGACCCCTTCTGAC